TGAGGACCAGAAACCCTGCCCCAGGGGTGCCCTGCGCGATGGCACTGGGGGGCGTGGCCAGGACCCACCTCACTGTCCGAGGTGTCTGGCTCATCCCGTCCGTCAGACTCTGGCCTCTGCACCTCGGCTTTGCTGGACTCTGGGGAACACGGGGTGTGGGTCAGGCCAGCTAGTGGCCTGGGAGTCTGATGACAGCGCCCAGGCACTGCCTGTGAACCCAGAGGAGCAGAGGGTGGGAGCAGCCTGTCCGAAAGCACCCTGCCCGAGGGGGGCAGAGCTGGGATTCGAATCCAGCCCAGCGGGCCCGGGGTTGCAGTATAAGGACCCACCAGCTGTGCCCCCTTTGGCTGCACACAGCCCTAGCTGCTCAGAGGCTCTTTCCTTCACTGTGTGTGGCTGTAGCAGCACCCACCTGGACCCCCAGCTCCATTTCGGGGTGAGCTGAGCCCTGGACCACTGACATGCTCCCTCCCCAGTATGGCACCCCTCCTGGCCAGACCCTCGTGCCCCTGGGAGGGGCTCGAGCTCACCTGTGTGGCCTTCCTCAGGCTGCTGCTGGTGAGTGAGCGGCCTGGGCTTCCTCCTGGGCTCATTCTTGGTCCCACTTGGAGAGGGCAAGCTGGGGTGCTGCCCTGGGAAAGGCTGTGGGGGGCTCTGAGGAGAACCAAGCAAGTGAGTTCATTTGGGGGACTGCCCCCCACCCCCTGGCCCAGCCCAGAACATAGCCTGCAGATCCCAAGGCCCAGAGCCACTCTGTGTAGTGGGAAGGAGGCATGGCCACCCTTGTTCATGGAAACTGGCGTGGTAAGGAGGAGAAAGAGTGGTCCACACCTCATACCCTGGCTAGATGCCAGCCTGGGGCAGGAGGAGGCTGGGGACAGGGGCTGGGCCCTTACCACTGGGGCTGGGGCCTCCTCAGGCTCCCAGGCTTTGGGCCCCTTGGTGCCATTGCTGAGCAGCTGAGGGTTGGGGATCATGGGTCCAGACTGGCCACGTGGCTCGGCTCCCCGGGGTGACTCTGGGCTGGGAAGGTGAGTGCTTGGGGGGCTGAGCGACCCATGGCAGTGGGCAGGCTTGTGGGCATCCCAGCTGCGGCCCCGGTCTGAGAGATCGAGGGGCTGGTCTGGGGCATACTCCTGTGCAGCCATGGCCACCTGCCCCCGGGGGCTGCCTGGGCCTGTGGGCTGTGAACACTGCTCCCTGTACCAGGCTGCTCTGGTCACTGTTGCCCCGGCCACCTCGATGTCCTCGGGGCCCTCGGAGTCTGAGCCTGCAGGCAGGGAGGGTGGCCCGCCCCCCGGCACAGGCAGGCCCTTTGGCCTGGCACTGCCTGCCTGGGCCCGAAGCTGCTGCCGGGCCAGGAACAGCTGCAGGGTGCCCTCCAGCCGTGGGTCCCTTGGGTCCACCATGGTCCCTGGCAGGCCCAGCAGGCCTGTGGGCTCCTCCCAGCCCTTGGCCTCCACGGCCTTCAAGCTCTTTGGCTGGGGGCCCCCGGGGGCCGTGGTGGGGGGCAGGGGGCTGCTGCGGGGGTTGCGGAGGTGCAGAGCCAGGTGGCGGCTCAGGAAGCCCAGGCGGTCAGCCTTCACGGAGGTCTTCAGGGTCTCGAAGGCCATGACGGAGGGCCAGGAGGCCCGCAGGAGGCTGTGGGGCAGGGCGGAGCCACATGAAGGCCTGGGGACCAGGACGGGTCAAGTGGGCCCGGAGAGGAGAGAGGATGGCCACCCACTTCACAGGTGCAGAAACGAAGAGCCAGGGAGGGGCAGGGAGGCCCCGAGGTCACTGGGTGGGGCATGAGGGGGCCTGGACCCCTGCGCAGCTCCTCTGGGTCTTTTCAGGATCTCCCCACAGGTGCCTGTGCCCCCGGAGTACCCCCATCTCCACGTGGTCCCCTGTATTCTCATCAGACACTGAACCGTCTGATCTTAGATCCATAGTTGAGGCCTAACCTGGTCCTCCTGAGAAGGCGCTCCCAAGAGCGGGCCCCATGTGTTACCCCCTTCTCCCCCAGACTGGCCACTCAGGAGGCATCGGCACGGGGACTTCGTGCCAGGCAGATGCCCAGGATTAGCCAGGCCAGGAAGGGGAGGGGATCCTGGAGGGATCGTTGGAGGGGCTTCCAGGCCACTCTCAAGTGGAAGGAGACCAGAGGCTGAGCGGACAGCTTAGGTGAGGCCTGTCCAGGGGGCGGCACTGGAGGGGCCCTCACCTGTCCAGGGGGAAGCCGGGCTCAGAGGCAGGGCTGGGCGGGCTGCTCCTGGGGGGCGGGGGTGTCCCACTGGTGGGGCTGTAGTCGGTGGGGCACGCCCGGGCCCCGGGCCGCACCAC